AACTTTACACTTGGCACAATGCAGTCAGGCAAGTATCGTTCTCCTGGCAACCGCCAAACCCAGACACATCCATCGGATTGCCAGACAGAGAAGCGTGATTCGTCACTCCAGAGAAGTTATAATACCAATAACAATTGACCGTGTAATATTTAGTAGCAAGGAAATTTCCTGGAAAACCTGAATCCAATGATTTGGAGGGATGTCCCCATACTTTTGGTAATATAGTATATATATATATATATATATATACATATACACACAGTATATAGTATATATACACATTGTTTGTGTATATACTGTAGATGTATGGCTTGGAAAGGTCATTGGAGCAAACAGCACTGCAGTATAAACATTCAATGGGGCAAAAAACATGTTTAGATTGTAAATTGAAATGAAAGTTTGATACAGGAACAGAATGTCCTAATCTGATTTCACAAAAGGATAACACACTATTTTGTATTGGACTGGGATCTTCTGAGGTCTTTCCAAAAGAAGAACCTGTGCAGTCACTTTGTTCTGAACAGCCACAAAACATTTACATAAATCACATATACTGTAAAGTCTAGAATTTACTTCTTGTTCTTCTAGCAGTAAATTCTTTGTATTGAGTCAGCAGACTGTGAAACAGCTTGGTACGGCTCAAAGGGGGAACGATTAGACCAGATTTGGACAACCTATGTGCATCCAACTGTTGGAACTAGCATACTTTACCATAGTTTGTATATAATATACACATATATCAGTTTGTGAAATAATTGGGTTGCTGTTCCCTCACATCTAGAGCAATGCTGCTTTTGTTAGCTGCTTCTCAATCAGGCCATACCTGCTAAGATCTGATTGTTTGGAAATTAATTAGTGGACACTTCCTTTCTTGGCACACTGGGTTCCTCCATTATTCCATTTATACTGGCTGATGTCCCTATTACTGTTATAACTAGTAGGGATGCACCATACCATTTTTTCTAGACTGAGTACGAGTACCGATACTTTCTCCTCAAGTACTAGCCGATACCAGTACTTTTTTTTTAGTGTCATGTGACAGGTTTTCTAAAACAATACAGAATAATGATTTTAGGACAGTGGTAAAGTGCCAGGGCCCGGTCCCAGCTACAAACGTTGTGCCCCTGGTAGTTCTTCCACTGACTCTAAGCTGTAGAGTGACCACAAAAATCTCAGCAATATATTATACAGCAAAACAGAATACCACCAGCTATAGAGGACTACAACGCCCACCAATACATTATACAGCAATGCAGAATAATACCATAAGCTATAGAAGAGTACAAATCCCAGTGATACATTATACAGCAATGCAGAGTAATACCATCAGCCAAAGGACTACAAAGCCCAGCAATATGTTATACAGCAATGCCGAATAGCACTG